TACTAACCTGACTCCAACTTGTTCAGATTAGGAAACAGAGACAATTGATATATGTGAAAAAACAGAGTCACAGACTCACACACACATACCGTATAGTTAAAATTGAATCTAAAATTCGCAGGCAATATCTCAATAATAGACAGTCACAAAAACTTTGAATCAAAATCTCAATCTTTAACATCATTAAACTGAAAAGATTAAAGCACCTAATGGTCCTAAATAACAGTCACGACAGATTACAAACAAGGTAAGAAACTCTTACCTCTGTTCTGAGCAGTGAGCACCAAGGAGATCAATATTGCAGTCAAACTTGGAGCCTGCGAATCCAATCAAATAAATATTAGTATTACTGCATTAGAGTAAGAAACGAACAGGGGAAAAAAAGCACCCCCAGCCGCTGGTAGTTACCAACAGAGAAGAGAGAACCAGAGAAACAAGATAAACAGAGTAACTTACCTAGTGGAGACTGGAGAGACACCGTTGTTGTTGGGTGGACTCTGGTTCTTACGGTGGCTGGTGAAAAGGACGTCGTCGATGAGGGGCGATGGCTGTTATGGAGTACCAGTGGACGGTGATTGTGGAATACTGGAATCGTGGACGGCTGAGAGAAAGAGATAGAGACTGAGTCACTAAGGAATCCTCAGTTTAGGGACGGCTGGAATTTTGGGATTTCAATTTAGGGATTTTTTTTTGTTCTGAACGTGAATGATGAACTGAAATGCGAAGAAGACTGAAGAGAAACATTGCATTTGCTTTGTTAAAGCCAATAGGCGGTCGACACGTGGCATATACATGGCTTTTTTTTTCCTGTGAGTAAAATCGCTAAATCGGTGGTGAAATCGCGATTTTACGCGATTTCACCCGATTTTAACGATTTTACCTGATTTTGATCCGATTTTACCCATTTCCGAGTTTTACAAGCGATTTAACACGTAAAGCCTACATCAACTCGTAAAAACGTACGATTTTACGAGTTGAATCACGATTTTGACAACCATGACTACAACATCAAAAAATATGCATGTTATGTTAGCGGGAACATCGCAACTTATGAATTACTCAAAGCATCATATATTGTGGTCTTTTTCTAACTTTACAATCGAGTTTTTAAATATTACAACTTACAACTTGCGAAGTAAATTTTGATAAGAAAAAAAAAAAACAATAATACCCTTATATATATTACTTTCAACTCATAGTCAAACAACTTTATTTTTTTTTGAATTCACAGCTTGTGATAATAATGTGATAATAATTATATTTTTGAAGATATGTTTGTTTTTGCATTTTAAAAATTTTTATTTTTTTATTTGTTCTTTACTTCAAATTAATTATTTTTTGATGTTTTAATATTATTTTAATATGCTGATATTAAAAATTATTTTAAAAAAATAAAAATAAATTATTATAATATATATTTATATAAAAAACACTTTAAAAATACCAATTATCTTACCTTCACTTCATAACAACCCATTAATAATCATTTGATTTCATTTCTCTAACAAAATTTATGCTCCAAAATTCAAACCACTCAATTCTTAGCTTAGCCTTGTGCTATGTCCTACTCTTTTCCATTCCATTGTGGGGATTCTTTTGTCATAGGAAAACAGGCAAAGTCATCATGTTTTAGCATATATCGTTTTACTAGCTTTGGTATTCACTATCTCTCAAGGAATACAAAGATGATCGAGTTTTAGATCCTGTTTCTTTATTGAATTTTTTTTATATATAAAATGATTTTTATAAAAAATAATTTATTTTTTAATATTTGATAATATTATAAAAATAAATTAAAAATTACTTTCTAGTATTTTATTATACCTTGAAAAATAAGTTATAAAATAAATTGTTAATATTTTTTCAAGCTTATTAAAATAATAAGGAAAAAATTCAATATAAAAGTTGAATGAGAATAAAATTGAAACAAAAATCAAATTTCATAAATTATCTCAAATAAAATAAATAACAATCAAAATAATAAAGATTAAATTTAAGAGATAAAAAAGTTGAAAGATGATGAATTTTTTTTTAAAAATATGATTTTATAAATTTTTTTAAATAAAATAAATAATAATTAAAAGAAGAGGACCAAATCTAATAGATAAAAAATTTCAATTAAAAAAATAATAAGAGAAAAGCAAATAACAATCATAAAAATAAAAACCAAAGTTGATATAAAAATCAAATTAAATAAAATTCTAAGAGATGAAATTAAAAAGAAAAAATATTCAAAACAAAATATATAGTAATCAAAAGTTTGAGAACTAAATTTAATATAATCAGTAAATAATATGATATTTTTAAATTTTTCACAACTTCTGAAAAATGTTTTCCACCCAAAATAAAAGAAAAATATTTTTCTAAAAACCAAACTAATTTTTTTTTAATTGAAAGTATTTTCCATTGACCAACTTTTCTAATGACAAACAAACATAAAAAAATTTAAAAAGTAGTTTTCAGGAAATTACAGGAAACCATTTCCCATAAAACAAACAAGGTCTTAGAGTTAGTTAAGAAAAAGTATAGGAAATGGAATAAAAAAACTTGTCAATGACACTCATTGTAAGAAATAGAGGGGAAGAAAAAGAAAAATAACAGGGGTTGGGTTTGCTGATTTTTTTTATTTTTATTACATATATTTTTGTTTATACAAGATTGTGTTTTGAAAAAAATAGGTTCTTTAGTCATTATATCAAATATAATGACAAATTTATAAATAAATACATATTTTTTATTGAATTTTTTACAACGTTAACTCTTGAGGATATAAAATTAATTGAAAAATAAATAAATAAACAAACTAAAAGATGCTCAAACTAATTTATCCTTAAAAGATTTGGGTTATGTGAATAAAAACAACATAATAATCTATAAATTGTGTTGTTCACAACTACATAATCCATTAACCTATGTTATTTCTCCAAATATTATTTGAGTTATGCAAGTTCATCAAAACCTTTTTGAACCCATGCTATTAAAAAAAAAAACCTTTCTATCAATGCACAATCTAGGTTTTGAGCTCTTTACCAGCTTTGTTATGAAAAGAATGACAATTTATGTGGTCTAATCTAGTATATTGTTAAAATTGATTTATTATAGTAAAACCCTAAAAAGAGTTTATTTATAATAAGGTAGCTGTCTAAAATCAAAACTCATGTATATACCAATAACATTGTTAAAAAAGAAGAAAAAGGTGTTTTGCAACTTAAAGGCTATCCATTCTCTCTATCCACCATAAAAAAAACCCTTTCTCTCCCATTATTGTGACAAAACTCAGTTTTTTTGTTTCTCTTTCTTTCTCTTCATGGGCGGTTCTCTCTTTAAATATTCATTTACGACAACCATTGGTCTTTTCCAGCCGCACTTACAAGAGCCCTCTTTAACCAATTTGAGGTGTATTCATTTTCCCTGTATATTAATTTGTTATTTACTTGGCTAATTTGTGGAATTTTTAGGGTTAGAGTTTGGTTTAGGCTTTTTTATTGATTTTGCCTAAATTAACTAAAATTTGAGATTAATTAAATATAAAATTATTTAAGTGTATAAATTATCTTATTTAATGAGAAAAATCAATGAATTATGTTACATTGATTGTATTAGTGTCAGGGTTTTAGGGTTTAATTTATGGTTTTTATTAGTTTAGAATTTTTTAATGCAACTTAATTATTTTGTTATATTGATAAGTTATCATTGTGTTTTGTTTTGATTTTGATATAATATGTCTTTTATAGTGAGAATATTATATTATTGTGGTGGTACAATCATCAATAACAATAATGGTATAGTTTGATATTATGTTTTGTAAAATATTTTTATTTACTAATATTTTTTTATTATGAATATGAAGTTATGGTCATAAAAGAATTTTCACATCAATTGTCATGATGCTTGGAGAAATCAAATGTTGGTCCCTATACACTATTTTAATATTGTTGGGGTGCATTATCTGGATTAGATAATGCATCAGTTCAGATTGTGTTAACACATCTCTGATGATGTTGACACATTTGATAGCATGCATGTTGTTAATCATCGAGATAAAATGGATAACAAGGTAATTCATGACACCATCATGGGAGTGTGTTATGAGACGTCACATGATATTATACATTAGCCAACATGTAATCCAAATAATTATGAGCTTTGTGTACCAAGATATAATAAATTAGTATGTATGGATTAATTTTTTTAACATGTAATAGAATTCTTATTTATATCTTATAATTAATGATATTTTTTTCTTATATATCAGGTTAATTTTTTAATACGCGAGTGTTAGAGAGTTGCAATTGTACTTCATGATACTACCGAGGATGTTGTGTGCGATGCTTTTAATACTTGGTTTTTATGATGCTATTCTTCATTTAACGAGATTGTGGATGTTGAACGTTTGGAAGATGCAATAAAAGAGGATGAAGTTATTTATCATGCATGATGACAAAATATTCGTGGTTTTAACAGCATAGACCTATCAACAAGTTAATTTGTTAGATGTAGTTTAATTATGTAACCATGAAGTTTAATTTGTAATGAATTATTTTGGTGTTGCAATTAAATCTCTTTAATTATGAAATTACTTGCTGTGAGATTAGGTGAATTTTTTTAAATGATTGTGTTAAGTTTATTGTAATCAAAAACTTTTCTTCTTGGCTTAAGCTATTATTTTTATGATTTTGTTATCTTTGAAATTTTGTGTTTTTAGGCCAGGTGCTGAAAGTGCGGAGACAAATAAACAACTAGTATTATTACAGACAAAGTATTATTATAGATAGCTCATGCATGACTAGTGAATGCACAAATATTACATGTGTATCTTAATAGGTCGCGTACATAGTATTTGTGCAACTTCTATTTACATGTGAGAAATGTTTTATCAACTGTATTAATTTAGAAAATACTTTGGCCTAAACTCCAATTAGTAAGGTTGAATTCAACATAAGCAGAAATGGGAAACAAGGTCTGTAGAAAAACCCCACAAGGTCAAAATAACATACGTATAAATCATAGCATAGTGTGTGTAGAAGCGTTTTGAGTTTGAATTGTGCAAACAACTCGATTTGAAAGGGAGGAAAGAGCGAGGAGCTCTTCTTGCTACAACGAAACCTAAAAGAGACCAAATCTGACGTTGAAGGGGAGCTACCTACCAAATCCAGCCCCTGTCTGTAACCACCTGTCTTTCCCTTACCTACTTGGTCAAATCCCACCGCACCACCTCTCTCTTGTCTCATCGATCGAGTCTACTGGTTCTTCCCTTGTTTCTCTCCCATCCCATCCCTCTTCTACATATAAATCCTCCCCCCCCTGCTCCTTCCAAGCATCAGCCAAACTCTCCCCCCTGCCTGTCTCTTCTTGTCAAAAATTCCAACCTCCCCCCCCTGCCTGTCTCTTCTTGTCAAAAATTTGGCTCTGTCTTTTCAATCAAGCAATTATTACGTCCTACTTGTTATCTCGTTTCAAAAGGGTAAAAACAAGCGAAAGAATACATACACACCATTTATTTATTTGGCTAAGATAAACCTAGCTGCTAGCTACTTTCTTGTTTTGATTTCGATCAATATCCCATTCTTAACCCAGTATTTTGATTTCGAAGACGATCAGAAAGATTAATACTGCTGGTACTATTCATGGGTCGCTCACCTTGTTGCGAAAAAGCACACACCAACAAAGGTGCCTGGACTAAGGAGGAAGACGAGCGCCTAATAGACTACATCAGGCTCCATGGTGAAGGTTGTTGGCGCTCTCTCCCAAAAGCTGCTGGTAAGGAGAAATTAACGAGTTGTTCTTCTATATCCGTTGTTTCTCTGTTTAGCTTTTCTAAATTTTTTGAGTGTTTTTGTTTGCACAGGATTGCTTAGATGCGGGAAGAGCTGTAGATTGAGGTGGATAAACTATTTGAGGCCTGATCTTAAAAGGGGGAATTTCACTGAAGAAGAAGATGAGATTATTATTAAGCTCCATGGTTTGCTAGGAAACAAGTAAGCTCATTTTGTCCTTAAGAAATGAACGGAAAGCATGAATATTTTTATGGATTTCATTCAAAAGGAGCAAGCTTTCTTTCTTGCTAGGGGTAATTAAATAGGGGAGTTTGTTGATTAATCATTTTATTACTTGCAGATGGTCCTTAATCGCTGGGAAATTACCAGGACGAACGGATAATGAGATAAAGAACTACTGGAACACGCATATCAAAAGAAAGCTAATTAGCCGTGGCATTGACCCACAAACACACAGACCTCTCAATGAGAAAACCACCACCACAACCATCGCTACTTCAACCACCAAAACCACCCAGTTAAACTTTAAAAACACCCCACCTCAATCACTAGCTGAAATCAGTATCTTAAAAAGCCAACTTGATTCAAAACACAACTCCACCAAAAGCAATGACTTTCTTAGCAGTCTGTACTCAAGTTTCAAACCCAAGAAAATAGAGGCCGCTTCTCTTGAAGAAAACAACTGCACAAGCTGTAGCACGACAACTGATGAAGAACAACAACAAAAGATGGAGAGTCATCATGATCAAGATATCAACTTGGACTTAACTATTGGGCTGGCTCCAACAACCAAAGGAGAGTCAACTCATACTTCTTCCAACTCGGCAGAGTCCAGACTACAACAACCAGTTTCTTCTTGCCAATTATTTGGTAGTGTGTCAACTCGGCCGGTTTGTTTGTGCTGGCAATCTGGGGGTGCAACATGGGAATCGTGCAGGGATTGCCAGAATCATAGATATTATTGTTGGAAGTAAATTAAAGTTAATGGTAGATTTAATTTTTCTTTCCTTTTCTGGTGAGATGTGTGAAGTAAATGGTTTTGTTTAGGTACTCACCATTTTCAACTTCTTCACCTGACCCTGTAATCATAAAGGCAATTAAAGAAGATGATGTTAAGCTCCCTACCTATCGTGGCATGTAAAGAAAGAAACAAAACAATTGTATTCTGCAAATGGCGCAAAGCTTTTTTTGGATTCTATAATTGATGGAAGAAGTTATTTTTAATTTTTTTTTTATAAATGTATTAAATAATATCTTTTATTTTTTAAAATTTATTTAACAAATTTATGGTAAAATTTCAGAACCGGTAGTAAAAATTTATGCTGTCCTTTTAACATTTGAGTACAGTAATATTTTGCCATTCTTTAGAAAAGAAAAACTATATCTTACATATTATTGATAATATTTTATATATTGATCAAGAGTTCATCTCAATCAACATAAATACTTTGAGATATTACAAATTTGTTATTACAATTAATTTAATATCCAAAGTGTTTTTATAATTTTTGTATTTTCTTCTACAATTTCTACATCTTCTTCCCCAATCCATATTTTTTTTTTTTAGGTTTTTTTAATTTTTAAATCCATGATAAAATATAAATTAAATTAAAATCTTCTTCTTCATATTTTATATGGTAAAAAGAGTACAAGGGGATGCAGGAGCAAGTCATCCTGTATGGTATCTTTGATTTTATGATCCTCCTAAGTTTAATCATTCAATTCAAATATTCTCTGATCACAAGAAACCAACTTTTACATTGTTATATTTCTTATATTATATGTATACTTATGAAGATTTAATATTATAAATGAATTAAAAAAAAAAACAACATTCTCTTCATGCTAAATTAACCCACATCACACTTATTTTTAATTCATCATTTTAGAAAGTTTGGTATTGCCTTTGAAAAATATTTTAAAAAAATTTTGAATTTTTTTATTATAAATTAATATATTTTTTATGTTATTAAATTATTCTAATATGTTAATCTTAAAAATAATTTTAAAAAAATAAAAAAATATATTATTAATATATTTTTTTAAATAAAAAATATTTTAAAAACAACTATAACCACATTCTTAAATACGTTTTACTCCTATTAAACATGTTATTTTGGATATATATATATATATATATATATCCACAGAGTGTTTCTGATCATATAAATTAATTACTAATTAATATAAAGTTGGAAATATTTTTAGGTCAAAGCACGCAACGTTTTTAATTTTATATAGGCTTTGTTCATAAGAAAAACGAGAGAGAAATCGAGCTAGCAGCCCTTTTCCTATGACGGCATTAGTCATTGCCTGTATATTGAAGAAGACACTAAAGAAGAAAATATTAGTTTTCCACTTTCCATTGGATTAAAAATTTCTTAAACTATGGATTGACTTTTGTTTCGGTCAATGTTTATGCTGTAACACAAACACTCAGAACTTTCCAAGTATTTGTTCTTTTTATGCTTTATAAATATTTTTGAAAAAATTAAAAAAATTATTTTAAATTATTTTTTTATTTTTAAATTGTTATATGTTTTTAAAAAATTATTATTATTTTAATATATTTTTAATTATTATACTTGAAAACTTTACAAGAGGGTGCCATTTAACCAGCTAACAATTGGATAAAAGTGTCGCCTTGAAAGTTTTTTTTTATTTTTTTCTCCTGATCTGGATATTTGACTTGCTTTCACATGATTTTAGTGGAGAGTTCCTCTTAGTATCAGTGGACCCTACCTCACCTAACTTGACCTGCCGAACAAAGTACAGTGTAAATGCTGAATCTTTTCCCAGAAATTAACGAAATCTCACACATCCACCCATGACCCGAAAAGGGGCCAATAGAAGAGAGTGTTGTTTTGTGTTATCCCATTGTTTTAGAAAAAGCAGAAAAAAAGTATACATTGACCTTATTATATAATGGAACGATTAATATTTAATTGGAGGCACCATCTGTATAAATAATCTATTCTTTGTTTGGCAAAAATGGTAAATTTAATTCTAATGCAGGAGAATAAGCTTGTTCGGAGTGTAGTTATAGTTGTTTTTTAAAATATTTTTTATGGTAAAATGCATCAAAATAATATATTTTTTTATTTTTTAAAAATTATTTTTAAAATCAGGGCATCAAAATGATTCCAAACATACAAAAAAATTAAATTTTTTAAAAATATGATTTACACCGCTCTCCCAAACACTATTTTAGTTTAGAAATTCACTTCGTTACTAAAAATTGAAAGTACCATTCTTATGTTTTGACATCATAACTAAAATCATAAAAATTTTAAAGTGCTTTTTACTTATAAATATATGAAAATAATATTTATTATTTTTTAAAAATTATTTTTGATATTAGTGCATTAAAATGATATGAGAACACCAAAAAAAATATTAATTTAAAGTAAAGAAAAAAAATTTAAAAAAAAAATAATTTTTTTAAAAACTTTTGAAACACAAAAAGAAACATGACCTAATCCCACACAAGCAATGAGATAATACAAAATTCCACACCCTGTGATTATATAAAATATACGCGCATAAAACTAAACTTGTAAATGATTCCAGCTAAGGGTTACTTGGTAATAGTTAATGATGCGTCATTGTTTTCTAAAAACTTCCTTTATTCAAATGTCATCACATAAAAATCATAACCCAAAATAAAATTATGTTTTTTTGATATCTAATTTAATGTGGGTAATGGTATGCTCGCACCTAACTCTAAATTGGGTAAGGGTATATCCACACTCAACCCTAGACTTAGTTAGACACTTTCATGCCTAACTCCAAGTTGGGTCAAAATATGTCCACAACTAACCTCATATTAGGTCAGGGATGCGTCCGCCCCTAACTCCAGTTGGGCTATAATGCGTCCATCCCTAACTCTATATTAGGTCATGGTGCACTCATCACTGAACATTCTTAGACTCTGTTACAAGTTGATTCAATTCATCTTGGATTCAGTGTATGAGTTGAACCTAATTATTTTTAGGTTCAATGTATAGCTAAAATGTGATTCCATACTAAGCTTTTCATACTTCGGGTTTAGACTGGTAATTATAATATTTGTATATCTCATTAAATATAAATAAGTGGTCCATACTTATATTAATTAGATATGATGACATGAGCAGCAAAATAATATTATTTTATTATTACAAAATTATATCTCCTCCCCTCTTACATTGAATAAAGCAAATTAAATCAGGTAATATAAAAAAAAGCATGAGTATACAGGAAAAAGATTTGAAATCTTACAATCTATGAGATAAACATAATCTTTTGTTTTCTTTATCTTTTCTATTTTTTTTATTTTTATTTTCATAAAAACTCATTAATAATTAACAAATTCTTTTTAGAATAAATAAAGTATATTTATTAATTATATTTTATGAAATAAAAATTACCTCTACTTAATAAAATAATTCTGAATACAAAATAAAAATTATCCAAAGCCATATGCATGAATAATAATAATAGAATATTTCTTAAATATTTTAAAATCTCTTATTTATAATTTTGCTCAAGGATTTTATGTCCTTTAAATCTCCCTGACTAGACTAATCAACTGCTTTAGTGATTACAAATTAATAATTTGTAAATCATGTGTATGGAAAGTTTTATGCTTTCTTTTTCTTTTTTTCTTTTTAAAAAAAGAATGTTCGAATTCAAACTTTAGACATGTGCACAAATTAAGTTTAAACCTCATCTGCTAGAGATGGTTTTCTGTTACCTAACGCAGGTAGAGAATAGATAGGACGACGGATGTAGCCAAACCTACAGTAAACACAAGTATAAAGTTAAAAGGCTGGGAAAAAAAATGTTTTCACGCATCTATTAGCACTTTAAATTGCTATCATGGTTTTTTTCTTTAATTCCTTGTTTTTTTTATGTTTTTTTTTAGTTTTTATATGTTGCGTTTATAAAAATTTAAAATTCATAATTTATTTTAATTTATTTTTTATATAATTACTATAATATCAAAATAATATTTCAATATCAAATAATATAAGAAAAATATTTCAGTGTAGTGGTATGATCTATTTTTAAAAAAATTTAATAAAAAAATGATTTAAAAAACTAGGTTATTAAACTTTGTGTAGTCAAAGACCTAATTAACAAGTTTGGCAAGATAACTCTATTTGTTCAATTTTGCGAGTTTAATGATAGTTTTTTTTTATTAATTCAACTCGATTATGTGATCGTCTATTTTTCTCTTTATCATATAATTAAAAAAATAGTCTTGAACAAAAACATGTTATTAAGTTTTAGAACATTTATTGGCCTATTGACATGTTTAGCAAAAAACAATTTTAAAAAAAAATTATTTTTGTCGATTTCATCCTTTAATATTAGACTTATTGAAAATTAAATTTTATAATTTATTTTATTTTACTTTTATGAAATTATCACAATCTTAAAAAAAGGTCTAAGTATTGATTTGAAGTTTGATTTTGTAATTGTCTTTTTTTTTTATCATATAGTTAAATAAAACATAATTTAAAAAATACAAGTTATTAATCCAAGTTGAGTCCATTACCTGGTTTACAGGTTTAACTTGTTGACTCAAGTTACTTAATTCACGGATTTAACTAGTTTACTTATCAAATTTGATATGTTTGCTTTTTAATTTTTGGTCCTTTAATTTTTCTAATTGCTTTTTTTTTTCATTCTTCTCCAATATTGGATTGACTGAGAAATAAAATTCATGGTTTATTTTTTTATTTTCTATAGAATTATAACAATCTCAAATAAATATTTTTTTAGGGTTGATACTCGATTTTACAGGCATCTAATTTTATTATAAAATTAAATAAAAAAATTTATATAAAAAATAGTAATCAAACCCATTAAAATGCATGATACAAGTCACAAAGCAATTGAAGTCGATCCAATTTAACATAGTTTTAAAGTTTTTTTAAAGGCATGTCATATTTTTATTAATCATTCAAGTTTCTTTTAAACTTATTAAATTAAATAATTTATTTTAGATCAAATCTCGTATAATTTAATTCAAAACTCAAGTTAAGTTACAAGCAAGTAACTGAATTGACCAATTTAAAAATTAAATCATTTAATTGAATTTAATAATAATAAATAAATAAAATCTTCATACTCTTTTACACTTAATCAGACCGGTTACAAGGTACGACAGGGTATGCTAGTCCACTATAAACCATGTGTGTTTCGTGCCTTTTG